TGCAACAAAATATTAAAAAACTGGGACCAAGTCACCGGTTTTCCAGTTCAACCATCCAAATCACCAGTTTTGGTTGCTTTTTTGTCCAATGCAGTTTTGGGGGTATGACTGAACCATCTAGGGGCCGATCACGATTCAACTGGTCCAACCAGCTGGTTTTGTTCGAATTTCTAAACACTGCTTTATAGTACCCTCATAGGGACATTTTCATAGGATAGGCTGCCATGCCTTCTCATTGCTATATTTTGAATCGGTCTCCCTACCATGCAAGAATACATATCCATAAAAAATTTTGAGCTCTTTTCAAGAAGGATAGGAGGGGGCATCAAACAATTGTTGAAAAATTTTCCATTTCTATAGGGCCAATAGTTCTCCTAAACCTGATTAGCAGATCGTTTCCCATACTTGTATAGATTATGGTGTTAAAATGTGTATTAGCATACTCTTGCCAAGAGTAGATTTCGTCTGGACTCTAAATACTCACAGACATGAGTATTTTATCCATAGACAATAACGTGGACCAAAGGTGGTGGTCTCTATATACCAAATTTATACATAATGTGGGCTGATGGGCCAGCCTGGAAGTTATATATGGTATGATATCTTTTATATAGTGGTATATGATATTTTATTAAATATATATCTACAGATAACATGTGCAGTAAGTATTAACCGGTATTTGGACTTAACTTTCATGACTGCAATGATATAAAACAAATATATATGGTATAATATATTTTAGTAAGGTATAATATCTTACATATATGGTTGTATGTATGTATACATAATATGATATATTAATATATAAACAATAAGTTATTATATATTTTTCTGTAACTTTGATTATAAAATTAAATTCTAATTCTCTTAAGGCTGTTAACATGCTGTGAGACTCGGCCAGGGCCCGGCCCAGCCCATGATCATCCCTAGGCTGAATCCTTTACGTACAGTCGGGAATTGCTCAATCCATTCATTCCAATTTTGCATATTTTTTTTTTTCGTTGGAACAAAAAAAGGGAAAATGGAGAATTAAAAAATTAACGTCGAGGCAATATTATCCTATTTCAGTATTTTAATTTTTAAACTTTTATTTTGTAATTACTTGACCTAAATGGAGACGTCAGAGTTTTCCGTCTCCACCCGTAGAATTAATGGGACACCTGGCCCTGGGTATTGGTATTTACTACTACTCAATCTCGACTTCTACTTTTGACCTCACTGAGCTATTTTGGTGTACTGATCATATTAGAAAATGAAAGAGAAATTATTCCTTCAGCTGCCATCAGTCTCAAGATCGTCTTGAGACGATGATCAGACTCAACCAAAAAACCAGATCAGCTGTTGTTTTGGATTTAAAACAAACGGTTGAGACGGTGATAGCAGCTGATGCAAACTCGGCTGAGAGGAGTGCATGCAGAGTGCCCGATCGAGTAAGAAGAATTGATTAATTAATTAGGTGCCGGTTTTTCCGTCTACAACGCGATTGAGTTAGGATTGGGGCCTTTTGAGAATTAATAAATAGGGCATGACGGAAGAAACAAGGCACAGAAGAAGAGATTTGAGATTTCAGTCTTGGCATCGGAAAAGATGAGGCGTTCCATTTCTTTGTTCAATTTGGCCATCTCTGTGCTCATTCTTTCTCAAGTTGCAGTTGGGGAAGATGTTGTAGAGGAAACCTGTAAGAAGGTAGCGGCCAAAGAGCCGGGCATGAGCTACGACTTCTGCGTGGCGTCCCTCCAAGCGGATCCCAAGAGCCGAACGGCGGACCTGCCGGGACTCGGCGTCATCTCCATGAAGTTGATGATATCCAATGCGACCAACGTGAATGAATACATAAAGCAGCTCTTGAAAGATGGGAAACTGGAGAATATGACTCGGCAGGCCTTAGAGGATTGCTCGAGTCTGTACTCGGATTCCATCTCTTCTGTGAAGGATGCCATCAATGACTTCAAGTCGAAGGATTACAACGGAGCCAATATAAAGATCAGTGCGGCCATGGAAGCACCCACGACGTGTGGAGAAGGTCTTTCGGAGGGGAAAGCCAAGGAGTCTGGTTTGACGGAGCGGAACGATGCTTTCTACAAACTGAGTGGAATTGCTCTCGTAATAACCACCCTCTTTAATTGATCAAGGAACTTCATTTTAAATTTTTAATGGTTTATGGCTGATAGAAAAATGTTGATTTATTATATTATTATAATATAAAAAAGTGTGATAAATGAGAATTATTTTCATGAATAATAAAAATGAGATAAAAATTAGGAAAAAAGAATAAAGCATTAATGTCTAATACATAATTCCACAAAACATGTCAAATGGTTCCATGATTTAATTAGCTAGGCTGTTGTAGTCAAGTGGTTTGGTGGTAAATGAACCTACAATCTTGAATTGGGTGATTGGCTAATTAATCTAATAAATTGATTTGAGCACAATATTAAAAATCAATATCAAACAATATATTGGAATTGTATTTCCTCTTGTTAAATAAGTAATTTTTATTGTGTTATAAATTAAATAATTAAAAATAAAATATATTATTTTTTTATAAATTTTACGGAAAAAATTGAACATGTATTAATATTATATATTCTTTGTATTAAACAAAAATATATTTGACAAAATGAGAATTATTGTTAGTAAAAATAGAAATAGCTAAAATACAAAAAATAAAACAAATTAATGTATTAACCATAGCTTATTTTCCTGGTTAAATAGGTTAATGATTCTATCGGTAATGACCTCATTTGGTTCTTGACAAAGTCAATGGTTTTTTTTTTTTTTGCAATAAATTGGTTTAGGTTAAAAAATACTAAAAAATGTGTCCAATTGAGAAACAAATAAATCCAACTGTATGGTTCAACTTCAACCGCATGTTGAAAACTTTAATAGAAATTATAATAACATTTGAAGTTAGGTCTTTGAGTTGAACGACAATTTATATATATATATATATATATATATATATATTGTTTTAGTGCAAACAATAAAAATTAAATTTGATTTTAATTTATATTTTACCCTCAATTTGCATACTTGCATGAATGACACGTGCCTTAGGAGAGCCTATTACATGTGCATACATTAGCTCAGTGAAGGGTGAGCATTATTTGGTTAAAATCAAAATATCAAACCAAAAGTTTCGGTTTCGATTTTTCAGTCCCGTTTTTCAATTTTTAGGTAATTTAGTTAGTTCAATTTTTAGGAATTTTGATTTTCGGTTTCGGTTTTCAGAGTTAGAAATTCGGTTAACCGAATAAACAATAATCGAAATTCATTATTTTTTATGTAATATATAATATACAATATATAACATATAATATATAGCATGCTATATATTTATTTATTAATATATTATATATAATGTTTTATAATGAAATTCATTTTTATAATATATATTATAATATATAAAATATATATTATAGGTTATAACATATAATATTTTATATATTAATTAAATTCGGTTTTTAAATGAAATAACCGAAAACCGAACCAAAAATTTTGGGTTCGGTTCGGTTTTCATCCTTTTATTTTGGTTTTTAAATTTTTTGTTTATTCGATTTGATTTTAACTGAATAAACCGAATGCTCACCCCTAAGCCCAGGTTCCAGGCTGAAACATAAGCCCGGGCTCAAGCCTATGTGRTCGGGCTAGGCTTGATTCTGAGCCTATAGATTTTATCATAAAATATTAAATCTATATAATTATGTCATATAATAATTGTTAAACTTTTTATACATTATATAATATAAAATATCATATATAATATGTATTGTAGGTGGTATGGGTGGATACAAACCGAGTAAAGCCAAATATTAAATTATTTGAGCTTGGCTCGGTAGAAAAACATAAGGCTTGCATTCAAACTTGAGTTCAATTCAAGCTAAAAGTGCTAACTTGTATTCAGCTTGACTTAAAAGCTTATATATTCAAGCACAACTTGGTTCAAGGTCGATAGTAAAACAAGCCTAAGGGTGCTTTCTTATTATACATATAAAAAATATATGTATAATAAATACTAAATAAAATATATGTATAATATTGTATGTCATATATATAAGGGAAAATTTCCGATCAGTATCCTGTATTTTGGTTTGAGTGATAATTTGATCCCCAAATTTTAAGATGTGACAATTCAATACCCAAACTTTCAAAACGTGACAATCCAGTACCCGAACTTTTAAAATGACAATCCATTACCTGTCGTTAACCAGTCCATTAGTTATTCATTAAGTGACACTTGAAAAGTCAAAAATGCCCTTCGAATGCCATCTAATTCTCTTTATCAACCATCCAAACATTGACAAAAAACTGAACAGTCCTAAATCCTAGCCTCTTCTATTCAAAAAGGTTGGTGATTGTTTAGAAGAATCTAGAATTTGGGATTGTAAATTTTATTGTCAATGTTTGGATGGTTATAAAGAGAATTAGATGTCATTCTTAGGGCATTTTTGACTTTTCAAATGTCACTTAACGGCTGATTAACGGACTGGTTAACAGCAGGTATTGGATTGTCACATTTTGAAAGTTTGGGTATTGAATTGTCGCATTTTAAAGTTCGGGGACCAAATTGTCACTCGAGCCAAAGTACAGGATACTGATCAAGAATTTTCCCTATATATAATTTTATAGGCAAATTTCTTAAACTACCCCTACTGTTTAGTTAATTGACTAACTGTACCCTTACTGTTTAACTATTGTTTTGCTCCACTCCTATTGTTTCTGACAATTGACTAGCTCTACCCTTGAAGTTAATATCTACTAATGTTCCGTCGAAATTCATACACACGTGACACCACGTAATGTATAAATTTTCTTTAAAACCCAATATTGCCCTTCATTCCTCTCCCTCCCTTCTTCTTCACCATCCCTTTCCCCGGCAGCAGCTACAACAAACCACTCCCCGACAGCCACTGGTGGTGCAACGGTTCCACTCTCGGTCTTTCATTGCGATCAAGCCAAAAAATTGTTGCAAATTCTTATTTTTTTATTAATTCTTTGTTTTCTTTTCCRCTACAGCAATCAACCGAGACCAGATCTGCTCCTCACACAGAGCGTCTCACACTGACCTCACACGCACATCCTACCATGCATTGGGAACATCTCCAATACTTATAAGTTACTATACACGGGAGATGTTCCCAATGCAGAGTGGATGTGCCTGTGAGGCACCCATGTGTGAGGAGTAGATCTTGTTCCCAATCAACCAGAGTTTTGCGAGTTCTCACATTAGCATGGGCTACGACGAGAAGGGAGCATTTCGAACTCACCAGTTGTTGTGACAACAAACAACCAATTGTCGTAGCTCGTAGCCCGTATCAAACCCCTGGCCTAGGGGCATTTCGAACTCACTAGAAAATGGTTGTTTTAGCAGGTCATTGCCGCTAGTTAGGTTAGAGAGACTGAGAGAGAGAGAACCATGGGAGTGGGGTTGGGTCGTAGGCTGTTCAAGACGACATCCATTAGAACCTTGGCTTAGGGCATTGGATTAGAAGCTCTGTCATTTCGAACTCGCTGAAAAACAATTGTTTCAACAGGTCTCCGCCACTGGTCATGTGAGAGTAGCGGTGGCAATTGGGCGGGTTGGGTTGAGCTTCAATCCAATCCATCTAACCCGCCAACTCATTAATGACCCAGTTATATAAAATTAAATGGGTTGGATTTAACCCAAACCCGCTTTAACCCAATCCAACCCGCCCAAACCCATTAATCTTATATTTATGGACTTAAAAAACAAACTAACTCTCTCTTAACAAATAAGTTGGTCATAGCTTGGTCGTAATAGTAGTTACTATTTACACAAGTGGTAAAGGTTCAAATCACATTACATGTTATTTTTACACCAGCGGCAAAGCCATTTGACTATGTTCAGATTTCGGGTTTGATTGAACCACTTAGGTTCAAACTGATCAGACCAACTTGAACTATCTAATTGGATTATCTTCGACTAATCACATCAAGGGTGGTTGAACCATTTAGATCTGGATCAGTCTGGTCGGACCGGATTGGACCAGTTCAGTCAATGGTGGATTGACTTGGATCGGTCATATCAAGTTTGTGCACGGGTTTGGGACTGAATTGACTGACCCGAAGTGGGTCATCGTAAGTAAACCGAGCCAGCTCGGATTCGGGTCGGGATGTATGGATATTGGTCGGACCGGATCGTCTAGACCGGGCAAGGCATGCAGACACCGAATCATCCTGCCCAGAACCGTTTTGGATTCGGGTCGACTGGGATTGGCTCGTACTAGGTTGAGGTCGGGCTGTATGAATACTAATTGGACAGGACGACCCAAACCGGGAAAAGCAAGTGGTACTGAACCATCCCACCCGGGGTCTATTTCGGATTCAGGTCAAGCCTGATCGGTATATGCTGGATAGGGTCGGACTACGTTGAACTGGTCCGGACTCAGATCAAATTGATTTGGATTTATGTTGGGTGAAGTGTGTTGATTCAAGGCAAAACTAAATTTAGTCAATAATTAATAGAAAATTAATGCATTAATTATAAATTATTTAATTCAAATGAAGAAAATAAAAAAAAGGCTAAAGAATTAATACTTATGTCTGTAATGGTTAACCCAATGGTTATCCACAACCCAACCCATCCCAACCCATTTAAATGGGCGGGTTGGGTGGGTTAGATACTAGGTGGATTGGGTGGGTTCAGCGGGTTGGGTGAAGAATTTCCACCCCTAGGTGAGAGGGTGTGAGAGCCATGGGAGCATCCATCAGAACCTTGGCCTAGGGGTGTTGTATTAGAAACTCCATCATTTCGAACTCGCTAGAACCAGTGGATCTGTAACCGACCCAATATGCTCACAATATGCTCACAATCCTGCCATGTTAGCAGCCCTCTCCTTGCTTCAAACCCCTTTTCCTAATTTTCTGTTTTCTTGAATTTTTTATTTTTTTTAATTCCACATAATTACCCATTAAATCAATAAGGAAATCACATATTCTTAACTATTTCTAACAACCATAAAGAAAGAGGGATTTGCTTTTTTAATGTTTAGCCAAGTGGCACCACCTTCCCCCACTTCCTCCTAAACTGTCTCTAATTCCTATTTATCTTCTAAATTATCTCTAATTCCTATTTATATTCTAAATTATCTCTAATTCCTATTTAT